ATGCTCCAACATAACCGCTCAAAAGATAGTTCCCATACATTTGTTTCAACTTTTTGTTTTATATTCCCCCTGTAAAGGGGCATGCCCGACTTAAAAGTAGCTTTCAGAACTTAGAACTCAAGCTGAGAACCGAAGTTACCTAGGGAACCCGCAAAGGACGTACGCGCCCAACTATGTACGTGAACACGGCCCCTCGATCCGCGAGACTGGCCGCGCTATACGAACATTTGCGCAATGCGTGCTCTCGAAACCAGCGTGGATTCATGTACGTGTACGTCCTTCTCTCGCTCCTGACTGCCAGGCACACTCGGCGACGACGCCGACCTCCTTCGCGCGCCCGCGCAGGGCCCCGCCGGCGCCCAGCGCGGCGAGCAGCCGCGCCGCGCCGCGCGCCGCTGTCCCGACGCCCGCCGCCCGCGCGCGGGGGCGCCCGCCGCGGCGGAGCCCTGCGGCGGAGCACATGGCGGGCCGCGCGGGGCGGCCACCGCGCGCCTCCGGGAGAGGGCCCGGGCTGGCGGGGCCCCTCGATGTGTGAGAGTTCCTCGGGGCGCCTCGGAGGACCTCGGAGGACCTCGGCGGAGGAGGAGGAGGAGGAGGAGGAGGGTGCCCCCCCGAGAGGCTTGCCGTCGGCGAGGAGCTGCACGGCGCCGTGGACTGGGCAGCTGTCCGGGCCCTGGCCGGGCCTCGCGGGCCGTCTGGAAACGGCTCTCGTGGCGTCGGGGGTCCGGGTTTCGAGCCCAGGCCTCCCAGATGGGGTCCGAGCTCAAACGGGGTCGGAGGCTCGCGCCGCATCGCCGATGCATCGCCGCCGCCAGCGTGGAGAGAAGCGGGCTCCACGTCGAGCTGCATCGATGATGCATCAGCGATGCGGCGCGAGCCTGCGACACCGTCTGCTCGGAAGCTGGGATGCCTAGAACAGCGGAGTTACTGACCGCCCCTGGCATCCCCTCGTCGCTGCAAGGAAAATCACCACGGGAAGTTCTCGACAATTTTCGCCCTCGGGGGGCCCTCACCGGATCCTGGGGCCGCCAAAAGTACGACTCGCGATGGTCAAGCAGGCCCCAGCGAAAGGGTCCAGACCTCTAGGGAGTCATGTTGCGACACAAATGACGTCGGATGTCTGGGTAGCGGAGCGCCACCACCCACCCCCCTGCCACGGGGCTCCGGGCCAGATCTTGGCGTGCAATGGCCTCGGGGCCTGCGGGTGGGGACACAGAAAAGGGGCCCGTGAATGCCTGGTGGTGCTGCGTACTTCCCTCTGCGGGCAGGGATGAAGGGACGGAGGAAGGTAGCACGGAGATAGAGGGAGGGATGGAGGGATGGACGGGGAGGGAGGGAGGATGGGAGGGAGATAGGGACAGAGGGAGGGAGGGTTGAGGGGATGGGGAGGGAGGACGGGGATGGGGAGCGGTGCGCCGGAGAATACAACTCCGCCGATCTGCGCTGCCGTCCCCTCGGGGGCGTGGGCCGAAGTGAAAGCCGGGCACCTGCTCGCCGCCACCGCCAACTCCGTCCTCGTCAGAGCTGCGCGCCTTCGCTCCGCCCTCCTCAGGGGTGCGCGCCTTCACTCCTCCACTTCTCCTCCGCCCGCCTCGCCACGGTGCGCCGCGGCAAGAACTTCGAGGCGGACATTCAGCCGGGGCGACGCGAGGGCCCTCGGAGGAACAGGAGAGCCCAGCGACACCCAACGGCCCCGATCCTCGAACCTCGTCCTCCTCAGGAGCTCTCGCACACTCTGGCAGGGGGATCGACCCCATGCTGGTCCCCGCTGCGGTCGCCAAGCAGGCCACCAGCGGCGGTGCCGCGTGCCGCTGCGCTCGGGGCTGCGCCCGCGAGCCCAGACATCCGATGTCGTGCTTTGTTTGCTCATGGCGTGTGCTCACGACGCGGCCCCCCAGGAGTCTGGACCCCTTCCCGGGCATGCACTTTCCATCCTGACTCGCTTTTGGGCGGTCCCGGGGCACTGACGGGGCTCCCGCATGCCGAGAATTGCCAAACACCTCCCGTAAGGTCTTGCCGCTTTGCGACGCCAAGATGTATGGAGGGAAGGGCGGGAGGCGGAGGTGTAGGAAGATGAGGGGGGAAGAAGCAGGAGGAGGGGGCCGAGGAGGAACAGGAGCAGGAAGAGGAGAACGTGGAAACAGGATCTGGAAGAGGAGAGAGAGGAGCAGAGTGAACTCAGGATGCGTCAACGACGCTGCACTGCAGCACACAGTCCCGTCCAACATCTGTCATCAAACCCCAGAAGACTCTTACAAAGAAGCCCAACCACTTCTTCAGCCTCCCTCATCCTCGCCAGATGGTATTCGGGCCTCGACGAGGCGCAGCCAATGTAACATACCCTGTGCCCCGACAGCTTCCAGGAAGAAGACGTCAGAAGGCGCCGATCACTTCCTCGACCTCCTCTTTGTCTTGCGCAGGCTCCAAGGCGATCTACCAGAACCTGCTCCTCCTCTTCCTCCTTCTCCTCCTCCTCCTTCTTTGGGCGCCCCTCGGATCCCTCTCGCGTGCTCGCGCGCGTGTCCGCGGGAAGCCCGCCGCGTCAAGCTCGCAGCGTGCTCGCGCGCGTATCGGGCGGAAGACCAAGAACAAGCAGGAGCATCAAATCACGTAACTCCTCCTCATCTTCTCCTCCTCCTCCTATTCCTCTCCCTCTCTCCTTCTCTCTGTTATTTGTCCCCTCCCTCCTGCGAAGGAGACGGAGGAAGTGGGAAGACGATTGCGATGATGAGGACGCCCACGATGACGACGGCCGCGGCGACCACGACGGCGTTGACGGCGAGGTCGACGGCAACGGCGGCGGCGGCGACATGGGCGTCGTCGTGATCGTTCTCCTCCTTCCACGTGGTTCCTCCTCCTTCCACCTTCCTCCTCCTTTCTCCTGTCTCCTCCCTCCTTCGTCTGCTCCGACCTTATCTGTCTCCCTCCTCCTCGTTCTTCCTCCTCCTCCTCCGTCCTCCTTCCTAGTCCTTCTCCTCCTGCCCCCTTCGTCCTGCGACTGAGGCCAATACAGAAGGTCATGTCTACCTTCTCGGTTCTCCTCGGTCCCCTCCTCTCCTCCTCCTCCTCCTCCTCCTCCTCCTCCTCCTCCTCCTGCTCCCCGTCCTCCTCCCACGACCTCCTATGTCCTCCTCCTCCTCCTCCTCCTCCTCGTTCTGCCTCCTTCGTCCTGTGGCAGAGGCAAATAGAAGGTAATGCACACCTCTTCGGTCGTCCTCCTCTTCTCTCGACCTCCTCCTCCTTCCCCCTCCTACGCCTCCATTTCTTGTCCTCGAAGATCGCTCCTCCGCCTCGCGCCCCCCACGCGTAGAGCAAATCGAACGTGCTGCCTGATACTCCCCCTTTATCGGTGATCATGAACCTTTTTTTGTGTTTGCAAGGATTCCACAAAGCGGAAAGGGGATCTACTTCAACATGGGCTCTGGCCTTAGCGCCGCGCGCATTCGTAAACACATGACCGATATGGTGGTCGGCAAACATGTGGGTTTCGCCGTAGCGCCACGCACAGTCGTCTTACCAGCTTGCAGCTGTTACCAAGGTGGAGACGGTGTGTTTCAGAATGGGGCTCTCGCCTTAGCGCCGCGCACATTCGCCTGGCAAGCTTGAAACAATCACAAAAGTGCAGGGGGTCGTTTTCAAAATGGGGCTCCCGCATTAGCCTTGTGTCGGGCATGCCCCCCTACAGGGAGATTTACTCCAAACATGCTCCAAAATTGTCAAACATAGTAGAACAATCGTCCCGACACTACTTTTGTACTATGTTTGAATGTCCCCCCTGTAGAGGGACAGCCCCGACTTAACATTAGCGCTGCGCGTAGTAGTTTGAAGAAAGCATGCAGCAACAACCAAGATGGATGGCGGCTTCTCTTCAAAATGAGGCTGTCGCACGAGCGCCGCGCACACCTCTTACTGAAGGGGCCCAGGGACACACAAATGAATACACACAAATCCCAGGAATCCCTACAATTTCCAATTATTGGGAATTTCGTCTTCCACCCCCCACTTCCCGTATTTTCCCATATTCTCTGGAAATCGACGATCAATTGTGTCTGTGTGCTTTTCCCTTAAACTTTAGAACCGTAGCATTGGTGGTGGGCAGTTTGCTTTTCAATACATGTCTCGCGCTGAAATCTTCCTCAAAATTGCCGACAAGAAGGTTGCGCAGATGTAACAGCTGCACGGATGACTGGAGGGCGAAAAAGGAGCTCTCGCCTCAGACTCCTCCAATGTAGGGCCTAGACATTACACATGTGCACCTGTTACTCGTATATGGCGCCGTCCATGTCAATAACGGCGCTGACGCTGGAGACACCGATGAACGCTCTGATTCCACTTATGACTTATGCGTTCCTTACAACCCCTTAGACATGCAGTGATATTCCTATTAAAAGCCGAAGCTCTCGCGTGAAAGACAGGCCCATAGGATGTTGGTCATTCAAGGGGTCGCGTCTTGTAGTGAACAGGACTACGTAGATGGATTATGAGGTGGGGCTTGGGACGGGAGGGCGTATCGCAGCATCGTGGATGCGCGTTGGGTTTGCTGCTGTCCTCCCCTTCCTCCCTCCTCCCCCCTCCTCCTCCCTCCTTCCTCCTCGCTCCTTCCCCTCCCTCTGCTCATCCTCCCCGGAAATCCCACGTCGAGATTTCTTCGCAGCGTGGCCCCCCAAGAAGTCAGGCCTTCCAAGCGACCGGCTGTTCATCACGAAGCGCTTCCCGGTACGAGCCCCCAACCCCTGACAATTGACAAACACCTTCCGACGTGATTTCTTCGCGACACGAAGACGTCTGGCCTTCGGGCCATTACTTGGGCCTGCGGCAACCGATCGGGACGACCCTGGCACCTGCGGCACGCTCTCGACGAGGCGCAGCTGCGGAAAGGCATCCCGAGGGAAGAAAGCCGTCAACAGCCGGCGAAAGCGTCAGAACCACTCCGCAACTCGAGCCTCGAAGCTCGATGGAACGGGCCCCCCCATCCCAGCGGCGCGGTCGTGACGCCCAGCCTCTGCTGGCTCCGTCGCGGAGGACAGCGTCGGCAGGCTCCGCAGGCGCGCCTGGGCCCTGGCGGCCTCTTCGGCCGCCTCCAGCTCCAGGTCCTCGATGGCTCTCCCTCCCCCACCAGGAAAACGGATGGAGGAGGGGGAGAGATGAGGAGGACTCAGGAGGAGGAACGGCACTCGGCCGCCGACGAGCTCGACGATTCACCGCGTTTGCCCCACTCCTCGACAACAGGGCGCTATAGCTCTCGATCAGGCGCCTGCGACAATGAGGCAACATCTCAAGCGCGGGCGTCGGCAAACCGGGCCGGAGGAATGGTCCGCCGGAACATCACTAGAAAATGCTTGGCTCTCTTGTGACGTTGAATATGTAAGACTCTAGGTAGCTGATCTGCGGCAGCACTGCTGGGAATAAATGTACTGCAGCCTCCTTTCAGGCCTCTGGAACTGAGCTGTATAGGAGCCGCAGCTTTTGCACACAACTGGGGCGCTTGAGGTAGCTTAATACACTGGACACAACTCGTTATGACCACTGGGAGATTCGGCTAACTCCGCCAGAACTTGACCATGTGCCAGGCCTGGTTCACTAGCTCTGGTGAATCGACGACTTAAGCCGAACCCCACAGACTGTGCACATTCACTTACCCCATATATGCATATATATATATATATATGTATGTATATAGAGGCCTGGCCGGGAGGCTTCCCCGTTCGAGCCAGCGACGACGCTATTTGAAGACGCTGTTCCCTCAAGGAGCTGCGGTGACGTCTCTATGCCGCTGACGCCTGGTGAAGCTCGTGGCGCCTCTATCCGGCCCCAAGCCTCTGTTCCGTTGACGCCCATTGAAGCTCGTGAAACCTCTATTCGGCCTGAAGCTTCTATTCGGCCTGAAGCTTGTACTCGGCGCGTGACGCCTCTATTCGGCCTACGACCTGCGACGCACAGGTGGGGTGGCGACCCTAGACGCGCCTATTCGGCCTGAAGCCTCTATTCCCGTGGCGCCCGTTGAAGCTCGTGAAACCTCTATTCGGCCTGAAGCTTTTATTCCCCTGACGCCCGGTGAAGCTCGTGAAGCCTCTATTCGGCCTGAAGCCTCTATTCCCCTGACGCCCGGTGAAGCTCGTGAAACCTCCGGCCTGAAACCTCAATTCCCCTGACGCCCGGTGAAGCTCGTGAAGCCTCTATTGGGCCCGGAGCCATTATTCCACCGACGCCCGGTGAAGCTCGTGAAGCCTCTATTCGGCCTGAAGCCTCTATTCCCGTGGCACCCGTTGAAGCTCGTGAAGCCTCTATTCGGTCTGAAGCCTCTATTCGGCCTGACGCCCATTGAAGCTCGTGAAGCCTGTAATCGGCCTGAAGCCTTTATTCTCCTGGCGCCCATTAAAGCTCGCGGAGCCTCTATTCGGCCTGAAGCCTCTATTCCCCTGACGCCCAGTGAAGCTCGTGATGCCTCTAGTCGACCTGAAGCCTCTATTCCCCTGGCGCCCGGTGAGGCTCGTGAAGCCTCTAAGCGGCCTGAAGCCTCTATTCTCCTGGCGCCTATTGAAGCTCGTGAAGCCTCTATTCGGCCTGAAGCCTCTATTCCCGTGGCGCCCGTTGAAGCTCGTGAAGCCTCTATCCAGCCTGAAGCCTTTATTCCCCTGACGCCCGGTGAAGCTCGTGAAGCCTCTATTCGGCCTGAAGCCTCTATTCCCGTGGCGCCCGTTGAAGCTCGTGAAGCCTCTATTCGGCCTGAAGCCTTTATTCCCCTGACGCCCGGTGAAGCTCGTGAAGCCTCTATTCGGCCTGAAGCCTCTATTCCCCTGACGCCCAGTGAAGCTCGTGTCGCCTCGCAGGGTTCGTGCCCCAGGGAAGCACGAAATATTCGCGCCCTAGGAGAGGGTCTATCGATAGGCACATACGTAAAACACCAAGAGGATCCGTGTTCCCAGGGGATGGCCAATCTACATGCACACGCGTAAGACACGAAGGATTCGTGCTCCAGGTGAGGGCGAATCTATAGGCGCATACGTACAGCACGAAGTATTCGTGCCCCAGGGGAAGGCAAATCTGTAAGCAAATATGTAAAACACAAAAGATTCGTGTCCCTGGAAAGGGCCAATCTATAGGCATACACGTGAACACACAAAGGACTCGTGCCCCAGGAGAGGGCCAATCTATACGCACATGTGTGAAACACAAAGGGTTCGCGCCCGTCAAACAAGGTAAATCTCTAGGCATCACGTAACACGTTAAGGATTCGCGCCCCATGATGCGGCCGATTATATATATATATATATATATATATATATATATATCGGAGGTGAGGGGGTGAGATCGAAGTGGAACGGAGACCCCCCTACCGGGAAATCGATTTCGGTTTCGTGTGCGTGCGTGCCGTGCGGGCGGGCGAGGCGAAGCTGCGTGGGCGGGCGAGAAAAAGTCTCCTGTGGCTGAGGCGCGGCCGGACCAAATGTCTCCCTTCCGGGCGGCCGGTGGCCCGCGGTGTCCCGCCGGTGTCCCGCGAAAGTCCCGTGTGGCTGAGGCGCGGCCGGACCAAATGATTGCCTTCCGGGCGGCCGGTGGCCCGCGGTGTCCCGCCGGTGTCCCGCGGTGTCCCGCGGTGTCCCGCGGTGTCCCGCCGGTGTCCCGCGGTGCCCCGCGAGGATGATGATGATGAGATGATGATGATGATGATGATGATGATGATGATGATGATGGTGATGGTGATGATGATGATGATGATATGATGATGATGATGGTGTCCCGATGAAGATGATGATGTTGATATGACGGTGTCGATGATGATGATAGTGTCCAGATGATGAGGATGATGATGCTCATGATGACTATGCTGATGATGATGACAATGATGGTGTCCCGATGATGATGCTCATGATGATGATGATGATTATGATGATGATGATGTTGGTGATGATGATGTTGATGGAAATGGTGTCCAGGCGGTAATGATGTTGATGATGATGATGATGATGTTGACGATGATTCTGGTATCCCGATGATGATGCTGATGATGATGATGGTGATGATGATGGTGATGCTGATGGTGTCCCGATGATGATAATAATGATGATAACTATGTTGATGACGATGTTGCTCATGATGATGATGGTGCCCCAATGATGATGATGATGATGTTGTTGTTGATGATGATGTCGATGATGATGGTGATGCGATGATCATGATGATGGTGTCCCGAGGATGATGACGATGTTGGTGATAATGTTGATGATGAGAACGATGGTGATCATGATGGTGTCCCGATTATGATGATGATTATGATGATGCTGCTGATGATGATGACGACGACTGTGTCCCGATGATGATGATGATGATGATAATTATGATGATGAGATGATGATGGTGGTGGTGATGATGATGACGTTGTCCCGATGATGATGCTGACGTTGATGATGTTGTTTATGATGATGATGCTGACGGTGCTCTCATGATGATGACGATGTTGGTGATGATGTTGATGTTGATGATGTTGATGATGATGATGGTGATGACGTTGACTGTGAGAGCGATTGTGATATCGACAGGGAGATCGATATTGAGACCGAATGTGAGATCGATTGTGTGATCAATTGTGAGATCGATTGTGAGATCAATTGTGAGATCGATCGAATGAGATAGATCGAGTGAGATCGATTGTGAGATCGATCGAATGAGATCGATCGAGCGACACCGATAGTGAGATCGATACTGAGATCGATAGTGAGACCGATCGAGTGAGACGTTGGTTCCCCCCCCCCGGAACCTCCTTATCACCCGAAGGGTGGTCGTATAGGTATATATATATATATATGTGAGCACACACGTAAGACACTAAACATTCGTGCCCAAAGAGTAAGCCAATCTATAGGCACATACGTGAAACACAATGGATTCGTGCCCAAAGAAAAAGCAAATCTATTGGCACATACGTTTAACACAAATGATTCGCGCCCCAGGAGAGGGCCAGGACAGCTCCAGGAGGCACCGGGAGGGGCCAAGACATCCCCAGAAGGCACCAGGAGGCCCTAGGAGGCTCCAGGAGACTCCAGGGAGCCCCAGAAAGCCGCAGAAAGCTCCAGGAGGCCCCAGGAAGCCCCAGGAGGCCCAAGGGAGACGACCAATCTATAGGCACATACGGTAAACACAGAGGATTGTGAAGCCACCCAGACCGCGCAGCACCAGTGACACGCTTCCAACGGATCCATCCTGCGGGCTCCTGGGGCATTCCGCCTCAAGGAGGTCCCGGGAGGCCTCGAGAAACACCCAGGAAACCCCATGAGGCCCCCAAGAAGACCAAACGAGGCCCTAGGAGGCCTCACAACGGCCCCCCAGGAGGCTTCAAAACAGCATCCAAGAACCCGACGAGAAACCTGTTTCTCGTCGGCCGCCCCCGCCGCCGCCGGCCGCCGCCGCCCGATGGGGCTGGGTTGCGGGTCCAAGGCCTCCTGGATGTTCGTTCGGGGGTCTCTTGGGAGGTTTCTCGTCAGGCTTTTGGGAGCTGTTTTGAAGCCTCCTGAGGGGCTGTTTCGGGGCCTCTTAGGATTATTTTTCCCTACCTCGGCTCTGCCTAGAAGGGTTCTTACTCTCTGGGCTTAAAGGGGCCGGGCAGTGGAAAGCGCCCCGGGCGGTTCCCCCAGTATCCGCCCCGCGGTTCCCCCAGTTGCGCCCCCTTAGCTTAGCTTTGATTAGCTCATCTTAGCTTAGCTTAGCTTCGCCTAGCCTAGCTTAGCTTAGATTTGCTTAGCCTAGCCTAGCTTAGCTTAGCTTAGCCTAGCTTAGCTTCACTTAGCTTAGCCTAGCCTGGCCTAGCTTATATTTGCTTAGCACAGCATTAGCACAGCATAGCATAGCATCGCATAGCATAGCACAGCATGGCATAACATCGTATATCATAGCATGGCGCAACATAGCATAGCATAGCATAACATCGCGCAGCATAACATAACATATCATAGCTTAGCTTAGCATAGCACAACGCAACATAGCATAGCATAGCATAGCATAGCATAGCATAGCGCAGCATAGCATAGCATAGCATGCCAAGTCGTGCGGTGTAGACCCGATACGGAACATTCTCAATAACACCCGGTGAGCGAAT